CTAATTCATTTAGTATTTCTTGCTCTAATTTGTTTAAGTAATCATTGATCGACTTCCTCAACGGCTTTTGTTTTCTGATTATTGATAGTTCTGATCCTGGTGTTCATGTATGTTATGGCTGTATCCAAGTTTTCCTTCACATCCTTTAAATCGTTTCAATAAGTTGAACTGAGGCGGATGATTTTACTTGCTTCAGAATATCAGACAAAGGTTTGAGTTCTTGACATTTCTGGTGTTCATCGGTGATGCACTGGACACAGCATGGACAGGCGTGGAAAGAACAATAAAGTTCAAACTTCTTCTTGTGGTCTTTGCACTGACTGCTTATTTCTTGCATGAATGTAGGTAACCCGTGGTAATCTTCAGATGACATGGCTTTATGGTTTTCGACAGTCTTGACTTAATAGCATCATTTATACATGTTACTATCTATTGTAAGAACATGTTCTGTAATAATAGCATCATTTATCCCTGTAACTAATTATCGTCCGTACATGGTCTGTAATAATAGCATCATTTATACCTGTTACTATCTATCGTCAGTATATGTTCTGTAATAATAGCATCATTTATCCCTGTTACTATCTATCGTAAGAACATGTTCTGTATTATAGGATTATTTAGCCCTGTTACTATCTATCGTCAGTTCATGTTCTGTAAAAATGTAATAGCTGACTTTTGGGCTTCAAATAAAACTCTAGTCGCTTTGTTAGGGTTCAGGATATTTATTTATCAGTAACGTAAAATACCCTAAAATAACAAAATGATAAAGTTAAAGAATTTTACAGAACCATTTGTAATACACATGATAAGTATAATATTCTTTCATAACATTTAATGGTATTATACAAAACATTGCACTTCAAAAATACAATTAAGTTGTGAACATTATGAGAACAGATATTATGTTCAATCATCAAATCATAGTATTAATGTCTTTTCATGAAATATTCAAATGTTAAGATTAACAACATTGATAAATTAAGCGAATATTAAAAGCATCGTAAAACAAGGGAAATAACTCTATACTAAAACTATGTGATTAACATACTTCGTAGTTAATTCAACCTATTTCAACAAAATACATTATAATTCTAATAGTATATTACTAATTCTTACCAACGTGTGTAGCAAGGTAGTTACTGCTGTGGCACAAACCATTTCAAATGTACATAGTGGTATATCACACAGTGATATCTATACAACAGCTTACAAGTTCTGTAAACAAAAATTACAATGTTAAATAACGGATTTTGATGAAACCGTATTTAAGCATAGACATAATTATAAAACATTCAGTATGAATAATTTCCTTTTGTATAAAATAAAACATAACTCGGACAATACTTTAGATATGTACAGAAACGTAGTTTTCTATCTAGAACAACTTTGTTTATGTTTTCTATGTATTATCAATCAACAAAGTTATCGTGTACGGACTAATTCACACAAGTAATACACTGTAGTATTTAAAATCTACTCATAACAAAGTCTTATCGAATACACCTTAAAGTATCGATCGGAATGTATGTACTTCTAAAACTGATTTACATATAGCTCTAACGAATGACTTCCAGTAATTTATATAATAAAATAAGTGTATAATATATGCATTCTATGTAGCAATAATACTTTTCGGGATCATAGAGAAAAATAACCATTCATTCCAAAAATCATTCAATCTATGAAAATGTATTAGAAATATCAATAAAGAAGTAAATAGGGAAAACTCACGTCAAAATGTCAAGTCTGTCAATTCAATACAATCATGACTATTCAATATACTTTCAAACTATTTCAATGGCTACTGGAAATAAACATCTGTCCATTTCGAATCCATTAGTCCTTCTGACTTAAACAAGAAACTCACTATTTAGCGCTAAAACTTCTAACCAACCAATCAGATTACTTAAAATCCAAATAATCATGTATATTCAACAATACGTCCATAATTTATGGAAACGTTTCAATGTAATCAAAATTTAGAAAAGATATTTGTTTTGTAGTTTTATTTAACATTTACATAATTATACATCTTTAATTTACACTTAAAATTTACACAAAATAAAGAGGCTATCACAAATATTGCATCATTTATCCCTGTTACTATCTATCGTAAGAACATGTTCTGTAATAATAGCATCATTTATACCTGTAACTATCTATCGTCAGTACATGTTCTTTAATAATAGCATCATTTATACATGTTTTTATCAATCGTAAGTACATGTTCTGTAATAATAGCATCATTTATACCTGTTTCCGTCTATCGTCAGTACATGTTCTGTAATAATAGCATCATTTATCCCTGTTACTAATTTTCATCGGTACATGTTCTATAATAATAGCATCATTTATACCTATTTCCATCTATCGTCAATACATGTTCTGTAATAATAGCATCATTTATCCCTGTAACTAATTATCGTCCGTACATTGTCTGTAATAATAGCATCATTTATCCCTGTAACTAATTATTGTCCGTACATGGTCTGTAATAATAGCATCATTTATCCCTGTTACTAATTATCGTCCGTATATGTTCTGTAATAATAGCATCATTTATACCTGTTACTATCTATCGTCAGTACATGTTCTCTAATAATAGCATCATTTATACCTGTGTCTATCTATCGTCAGTATATGTTCTGTAATAATAGCATCATTTATACCTGTTACTATCTATCGTCAGTATATGTTCTGTAATAATAGCATCATTTATACCTATTACTATCTATCGTCAGTACATGTTCTGTAATAATAGCATCTTTTATACCTGTTACTATATATCGTCAGTATATGTTCTGTAATACTAGCATCATTAATACCTGTTACTATCTATCGTCAGTATATGTTCTGTAATAATAGCATCATTTATACCTGTTACTATCTATCGTCAGTACATGTTCTGTAATAATAGCATCATTTATACCTGTTACTATCTATCGTCAGTACATGTTCTCTAATAATAGCATCATTTATACCTGTGTCTATCTATCGTCAGTATATGTTCTGTAAAAATAGCATCATTTATACCTGTTACTATCTATCGTCAGTATATGTTCTGTAATAATAGCATCATTTATACCTATTACTATCTATCGTCAGTACATGTTCTGTAATAATAGCATCTTTTATACCTGTTACTATATATCGTCAGTATATGTTCTGTAATACTAGCATCATTAATACCTGTTACTATCTATCGTCAGTATATGTTCTGTAATAATAGCATCATTTATACCTGTTACTATCTATCGTCAGTACATGTTCTGTAATAATAGCATCATTTATACCTGTTACTATCTATCGTCAGTATATGTTCTGTAATAATAGCATCATTTATACCTGTTACCATCTATCGTTAGTACATGTTCTGATATAATAGCATCATTTATGCCTGTTACTATCTATCGTCAGTATATGTTCTGTATTAATAGCATCAATTATACCTGTTACTATCTATCGTCAGTACATGTTTTGTAATAATAGCATCACTTATACCTGTTACTATCTATCGTCAGTACATGTTCTGTAATAATAGCATCATTTATAGCATCATTTATAGCATCATTTATACCTGTTACTATCTATCGTCAGTACATGTTCTGTAATAATAGCATCATTTATCCCCGTTACAATCTATCGTCAGTTTGTGTTTCGTAATAATTTATCGATTGCATGAATGTTTTGATCACATATTAGAAATATGCAAATAAAAAAGAAAATATGATCGTTTATTCCTACACCATTGCTTTTCTCTTTTTCAAGAATATATATAGATGGCAAAAACCCGTAGAGATCAATGTTTGACGAAACCTTTAGGTCAAAATTAAAAAAATTCAACAGGACCAGATATTCAAAGGCCGTAATAATATCAATTTAGCACAAAACTAATCAAAATCAAATTTTACTTTTGAATCGATATTTTAAAGTTCATATTTTTTAAACGACTAGCATTGTTGAAGCTATTCCAAACAATTAATCAACATCCTTGGCTTTTTGGTTTAAAGGAATTTAACAGGGGTTAATGGGAAATGGGAAAAATATGTGTTGAAAAAATAATTTTCGTCAGTCATCTGTTTGACCGTATTACTAAAAAAAAATCGAATCAAACGATCAAATACCATCCTTCACATTGCACTTTGGTTAGTCGAGCTACACTCACATCATCTCAGAGCATTATTTTTCAATATATCAATAAAACAAAAGGAGGAAAGAATCTAAACAAATAAGTCTGAGATTAAAAGTTTGAAAAATAAAAATGAGCCATGCCATGAACAATAGGACGTGTTCTTCTTGTAGAGCAAACACTATTCACAATTCAAAACCATTAGCTTTTTCATACACATGTTTCGTCTAAAAGGGGTCCTTGGTCCTTATTTGTTATAATAGTTTCGTGCGTTTTATTTGTCCCATTTTCAAAATCCACCTTTTTTTCAATAGGTCTTTTTTATCCTTCTTCCAGAAAAACAAAATAATTTTAAATTTTGTTGTTTGATTATGTTTTAGGGCTAGAGCATGTGCATGTTCAAATGCTTAATTAACTTGATAATGTTTTAAGGTAGGAACACATTTTGTTTGTCATGAGAGACACTATGTGTGTCACTTGTGAAGCATGAACTCGTAACCTTTTTACGCTTCTGGACTTTAATCTGGGCTTTGTTTCCATATATTCGGGTTAATCAGTTCTAAGGGTTTATAGACTGCTGTCTGTATTTAATGTTTTGTAAATGGTCTTCTCTGATTTTCTTCGTCTCATTGTTTTTTTGTTTTTTTTTTCAATTGCAAATCCGGGTTTTCCTACCTTTTACAAAAATCTATCTTTTATTGTTTCAAAAATTTTATTACGAACACGTTAAAAACAAAAAGACGTATTGTATATTTCAGCACGTAACATGCTGTAAGCAAGTCATATATCATATTAATATATTTTACTAAATTATATAATATTGTTATGTTGTGCGCATGTTACAAGAACTTTGGATGACGAATTTTGTTATATAAGTATTTTATAAATATTTCACACTTGGATATTTTTGCGTTGTTTAAATACTATTCATTTACGTAAACCTAATCAAACGATAATGTGGAAAGCTGTGATTTTGATACTTTGTGTAATTTATTGCACACATGTAAGTTTTTAAAATACTCAAATAAGTATTGAAATGAAAGGTTCTTCCTTTTTTGTCTTGTATTCGTTTACTTTAAAACATGTTTGCAGATAAAAGATTTTACAAACTTTTTTTGAAGGTGTTTCTTAAGAAAAAAACTTTTGTGTGTGTTATATTTCATAGAGAATAAAAAAAATCAATTATTGTATGAAATCCTTGGTTTTTATTGGTTTTTTTTAACACCAATTAGATATATCTTTATTTCAATCAATTTTAAAATTCCATATTCCTTCATAAGTATCGATATAACTTACAATCTTTCGTATCAATTAATTACAAAGCACCAATCTTACATTATAAATGTGTTTCACATTAGTATTTATTAAACTTTTTCTAACTTTTTAGCATAACGCCTTCCGTTATCAAATTATTTTATGCATAGACACAATTCATCGTTTTCTTTTCTGATCAGATAAATGGAAGTATTTATACATTTCATATCCAATAAAAGATCTAAGATGTGTAAAGTCAACCTAATTCTTTATTTAAGGTTTTATAGCCCCAAAAAATAATATAATATAGTATTTTTTTTTTTTTTTTTTTTTTAACGTTTGCCAAAAAATTATGAAAGTTCTCTAAAAATCGCCCCAAAAACAACATGATATAAAACCAATACAATTATCCTTTAAAGTAAAGCATTTGTTTGAGATCTATAATTGGTTGTAATCTTCAATCATAACATTTTTGACTCATCTTTAATTGATTTCTTCTAAATGATATAAAAAAAACTGTACAAAGATTTCAGACGAAGATCTGTTTTTATTGGCAATAATAAATACTACTCTACATTTTGACACATTGTTTTCTTAATATTCACTTATTGTCAAACATTTACTCTACCGCCCTGGGAATTTGAACTTGTTTCGAAGTTTATGTCATCAAACAATATAGGTAACAAGTTGACAAAACTCACCAAAATCACATTGTTTACAAAAGCATGTATGTTACAAATGAAAGGACACACATTTCGTCCGTTCGAAGTCCTTTTCTGGATTTATTTTCGTAAGAAACTGTGGTATCTAACTATTCGATAGACAACGAGGTATAAATAGTTGAAACACAAGCACACAACCACGTACGCACACATTTATGTAAAAGGGACGTTGTACAAATTACCTTTCTAGGTGTATTGTATGCTCCTTCCCCGTATGTGAGCCCTTACAACAACTGTTCCTATACTAACTGCTTCTTGTATAAACGGTAGCAGAATAGCCGAATTTAATAATTGTCAGCTTGTTTGAAGCAGCTGCGACCTTAGTTCTTAATAATTTCAGAATTTATAAACGGGCAATTGTTAGCTTAATATATTATAAATCATGTTAGTACCTAATCTATAACTTACATCGGAGACTTAAAAAAGAGGGACGAAAGATACCAGAGGGACAGTCAAACTCATAGATCGAAACAAACTGACAACGCCATGGTCAAAAATAAAAAGACAAACAGACAAATAATAGTACAGATGACATAACATGGAAAACTAAAGACTAAGCAACACGAACCCCACCAAAAACTGGGGATGATCTCAGGTACTCCGGAAGGGTAAGCAGATCCTGCTCCACATCTGGCACCCGTCGTGTGGCTTATGTTATTACAAATCCGGTAAACGAAGATAAAGTTCATCAGAAGTGGTTTAGAAAATGATAACAACACTTTATACACTTCATGCTCCAAAAGCACATAAAACTCATATAAGATACCAGGCATTTTTATCTTCAAAAGGTACGGGCAAATTACACATTTTCTTCTTGACAAGATATATGTACGTTTCGGCGATCAAGTTTATCGACAGGTTTTAGGTATTCCTATGGGCACCAATTGTTCCCCTTCAGTATTAGACTTGTTTCTGTACTGTTATAAATCACTGTTTTTGGCCAAGCTCTGTTAAGTCCCGTCTACATCCCATCTAATTGACAAATTCAACAACACTTACCGTTATCTTGATAGTATTTTTCGTTAAATAACCATGAGTTCTCTAAAAATATACTGCCAAAATTTAAACTCATGATAAAGAGCAATAACTCTTCTCTCCTTTTGAAATTTCAGTATTAAACAAAAATTCAGTTTAAAACAAAAATACTCTACACAAAAATTTACGACAAGAGGGACGATTTTCGGCTTTCAATTTTTGAACGGAGATTTTCCTTCGGTACCATCTTCCGATGTTTATATATTGCCACTCGTTCGCTATACCCGTGTCGGTAGTGACGTTTTGATTTCAATGAGCGTCATCTATGTATTATTGGTAAATCATTAAGTCAAGGATTTTAACACGAATAAATTAAAACCTTTAATACTTTCTTCCATCGAAATAAGATTTGGTTTGGAAGTTTAGTTTTACCTGAAAAAAATGTATTACAAACGAGATAGCACATCCTAATCTTTACGGTATTGTTGTTAACAGAGCCCCGTAAATTAAGTAACGATCCGGGTAAACTTATTGGTTTTTTTAAATAAACTTATTTTGAAAGGTTACCAATTCAACACTGTTGTCATATTGCTTGATAGATTGTTTGCTGCTTACCATCCAGTGGTAAATAGTCCACGCATGTTCAGGACTATACACTGTAATTAAATCTTTGAATATTGTTTTTATCGGTATATAATAAATGTTGGTGTTGTTATCAGTAAATTAAAACCAAACTTAATATAATGGTTATATACATATATACATTCACGGTACTACAATATGTCGATTTTTATATTATGGCAAGGTCATGGTTTTATTTGGCTGTATATGACGTCTATACACTAAATCCGTTGAATTCTGGATGTGTACTGATTGGTAGTTTAGTCTAATATGCCTGTTTTTAAGTCTTTGGCTTTGGACTGGCTTTCAGTAACTGCGAGTACTTTCAGATTTGTACTTTGTGTCTTTTGTGTTTTTTGTTTTGTTTTTTTTTTTAGTTTTTTTTTGTGTTTCGTATCGATCTGATAAGCTTAGCCCTTTTCAAATAATTTGTATAGTTTGTTCTTATGTTGTATATTTTCACCACTGTCCTAGATTATGGGTAAGGATTGGTGCCAGCAAAATTATTGAACCCAGCCATATTCTGTATGTGTCTGTCCTAACTCAAGAGCTTGTAATTCAGTAATTGTTGTTTGTTACTGTATATCATATTTACTTTTCGTTTCTTGTTTTGTCCATATACCTAGCCGTTAGTTTTGTCGTTTCACTTGTGTTACATTTGTCATTTTGGTGCCTTTTATAGCTAACTATGCTATGCGGTACGGGTTTTGTCTATTGTTGAAGGCCGTACAGTGACCTAAAGTATATAACTTGTATGTCATTTGATCTCTGGTGGGGAGTTGTCTCATTGGCAATCATACCACCTACTCTTATTTGTATATCTACAGATATGCCAATTGAAATAATTACCGAACCTCAAAGGCTTAAAAGTTTCAATTGTGTTTCTGTCAGCTATTAGCTCTTGTTACTTGTAAAAAAACTTTATCTTAAAAGTTATCCGTGTTGAAACTTGATAACGGGAAAGGCATAAAAGTGCAATTGGAGGAATGCATTAAACTCTAATAGGAATTCCGATATTGAGATATAATGAAAATAAACATTGTAAAGTAAGAAATGAAAAGCCATAACCATGTCTATGCATATTCAGTAACAATGATCTTTATATCTTTGAATTTGATGAACAGCATATTTCAGGGGCGAAAAGGGGGTTGGAGGAAAGAGGTCGGGTAAATGGCTTTACGGTGGGAAATTTTAGACGAACTTTTTTTCCAATCAAAGGGGGTACACCTTAAACCCCCGCCTATGAAACCGCAACTGCACATGAAAATAAAGAATGAATAATTTCAATTTCCCTAAACCAAAGCTGCGCTCGTTTGGTGACCTGTACAATACCAGCAGTTACTATCTGTTATATATAACATACCGCCTTGTCTTTTGATCCCGTAGACATAATTAAATATATTCAGCATAAATATACCTGTAGACAGTTTTCAGGTTTTGAATATAATTGTAGTTAGAACATCTTTATTTGATTTTTGTTTGAGTAAGTTGTTTGGATTAATTTTGTTTTCAATCTTAATTATCGGGAAAAGGGAGAAATTGTTGTTTTCTCATAATGAAATAGTTGGATTGTAAAAAAATAAATATAAGGGACTCCGAAGATGGGGGAAGTTGCAGACATCATGCATTCCTGGAGGAGAGACACAAATCAAGCCGGGTTTTTTTTTGCGTTTGAATTGCTCCACATTTTGTAGTTCAATGCCTTTTATAACTGACTACACGGTAAGGGTTTTGTTCATGTTCAAGTTTATACAATGACCTATAACAGATATACATGCTTACATCCATGCCTTCTGGACTCTTGATGACAGTTGTCTCATTGCTAATCATAACTTATATAATAAAAGAAAGGATATTGGGTAGCCACCCATGACACAAAATCAGTACATGCACAGCAAAAAACACACTTTTATTGTTGTTCTTCATCTATCCTTTTTTTATATTTTGATGCACAGTCATTCAATGCATTAATCAGCTACCACAAATTTGCAATCAATATTTGTTAAATTACTAATTTTTTTTAATTTTTTGTCAAGGGATTTAAATTCCGATGAAAGGAAGACAACATTTAAATGATTCCTTGGTTTGTTTTTATAATCTTAAAAGGGTGCACCTGGATGTCCAGTTTGTTACCGAGGTCGGAGAGAATCAGGTTGTCCCGTGTGTATCTGGATCTGGCACAATTGTGACATCGATGTGGACTGTACAGGAGGTATTGTATTATTGTTTTCTATCATCTTGTTGTTTACCAATTTTTCTAGAAAAACGGTCATTTGGATCTGAACAGCTTATAAAAGACTGAACAATGGTTTATTGTCATATCCAGATGTCAGTCGATTTTCATCTGATTATTTAGGCTGTTAATTTGCAGGCAAGTAAGCTTTTCAGTCTGTGTTCAGTTGTTGTCTTATTTCCTGTACAAAACAAAAACATATTGAATTCTATTTGTCTGAAAAGCTTCCTACAGGTACTGGATTTCCAGAAGGCAAAATATCTGAAAATAACTTGATTGACTGCAAAGAAAAATATCTGAACAGTTCTTAAATAACGTATTGCAACATTGACCAAAGAGTGAACATCAAATAACCTTGACCACTGGCCTTAATGTAAAAAAAAAAATACAAGCAAGTAGAAAAATATTTTTTTATGGTCTCACATTTAACGATGTTTCGTATAAAATCATGAAAAACATATTTTTATGCATTATATACTTTAAATGCCGCTAGGACCAACACGTGATGGTTAGAATTAAATAGAAGACTACGGTAGTTTGTGTATGTGCTGAGTTTTAAAGTAAAGTGGAACGAGATAAGTTCAGATTATTTGTGAATAACGGTTTGATGTTTTATCACTGACTGTCTCGTGTACCGCAGAACCGTTACTTTTGACCTAAATTGTAATTCTCTAGGTAATTTTATTTTTCTTGCGAGTCTATATGAAGATTCTTTTTAAACTTAATCAATTTTAGTCTTCTGCTGCATTCAGAATTTTAGATATCAGGTCAAATATGAACTGGAAGTTAAGGTAATTTTGATTCACTTAAAAGGTCATACATTTAGTGAAGTTGTAAAAGACAATATGAATCGCTTAAATGCAAGAGCTTGATAATTATTACGAACTTTTGAATATGCACTTAATGTTAATCTAAAATTTACATGCCCGTTTTACTTGTTTTTCTTCAGAATCATTGAAAAACTTTCTTAAAATGCAACGAGGTATAGAACCACATATTCGGGCCTGGTCAGAAAGGACATACATTAAAGTTAAACATGTTTAAACAGAATAAGATCTACGCATAGCTGTACTTTTGCCAAAAAGTAAAATATTAGGGTAATGTTGGTATCAACTGAGAGTCTGGAGACTCTCACTTAATTTGAACTCAAGACACCATCGCTATAAATGGTTGAAATTGCAGAATTTAACATAAAAAGTAATGGGGCTATGAACTAGTGGTTCATATCGAAAGAATGTTTTGTTTTCCTAATGCAACGCAATTTGTAAATTATATATTACACATTTACAGGTCGACTTTGTTGTTTAAATCCAAATTGTGGTAGATCGTGTCAAATACCAGGTATGTCACTATGTGTCCTCATGTCAAATACCAGGTATGTCACTATTATATATGTTTATTATCCGCCTTAAGAAGAGTATGAATATACATGAATATCTGGCAAGGAGGGGAACCCTTCAGTTCGATTCCGTTATAATGGAATTCCCTTTGGAGAAAAACAAATTGAATACATATAGATAGATTTTGTTGTTTTATGCTATAAGCTGCTGTCAAGTTGAAGTAGATCTTACCTTTCCTTTTCTACGAGTCTGATTCATATGTATCTTTTATGAAACATCTTTAGATATTTTTGCAATATGTAATTTAAGATTTATCATTCAACTCGGGAACAACATATAAAAAGTATAATGTACTTTTCAACATAAGTTATCAAGGCAAGACGGAATATATATTTCATTATAAAAGGAAATCATTATAGACTAGAACTTGATGAATCAGCTGTGAAACGATAATCGAAAGTAACAAGACATTCAGTTTACCCTAGGAACTACAAGCGTGTATCTTTTTAATGGTGTTTCTGATCCCGATATTATATACATATTCTAATGTACTCTTTAGATTTTTCAACTCCATTGATTTGATAGGCAAAATTCATAGACATTAAATTATGATAAAAGCAGGTAAGAAAATCGATATCAAACTCTCTCTTTATAACTGCTCATGTTATCATGCAAAGAAATTGGGAAAAAGAAGCAAGCAATCAATATGAATAGCTGCTCAACGGTATTAAGGCATTTTCTGGTAAAATATATTGCATTTTATTCTTAATTATGTGAATTAATTTAAGGATACCAAAGAACATAACGACTTTAAAAATATTCCTTAAACACAATTTAGGCGATATAACATATTCAGAAGAGGTCAGTGAAGCCTCTTTTTATATTCAGGGAAGCCTGTTTTTAATTTTCTAAAGCGAAAGTAATCACGTGACACCCAGATCTTAATATTTCTTAAATTAATAAAACCTCAAAGTGCAGGTTAAAGACGGAATTTTGCGTTAACAAATTCTCATTCGATGCATAGAATAAAAACTATTTTTGAAGGAAAATGCTTTCAATTGCTTTGTTATATTACAAGCCTTAATTTCTTTTTTAACTTGCAAATGTATCATACAGAATACCCCGATATCAATTTCAGTAATTTGTGACACATTGTGTTATCTTTTCTAATTAAGTAGTAGAACTTTTCGTAAACATAATACGATCCGAAATCGATTCACTTTCAAAACTATTAGCTACAATTGGGGTGGAGAACAAGCACTTTTCAATTTTTGTCTAAAAATTTTGTTTATCTTTTTAGGTTAATGGACGCAGATGATCAAAAAGATATTTCCGAATCTAGTGTAATTTTCATTTCCAATGTGGTGAAAACAAACTTTTAAGGGCGGGAAAATTTATTATTTACCACTAATTTTGTATTTGAACTTGACGATATAAATCTTGAATAAAAGTGTAAACAAAAAGCGGGGCAACATTTTAACTAAGTTACATGTTTTCCATATTAATGGAACGCGCAACAATTAAAAAAGGGAGACAGGATGAAATAAATACTAGTATATAAAAGTTTTTCCTCTCTTTATATTTTTCTTTTTTAACTTACTTGAAATATTTCTGTCTGCTTTAGTAAGTATATATGATTATCTGCTATCGAAATAATGATAGGATATACAATGGAGATATGTACTTAATTTGTAGGCACTGCTGGAATGTTGTTACATAGGAATGGAAAGTTCGTGTTAATAGCAATGAAGACGCAATACAAGGTGTTTAAATTGCGCGTATGATTATAGATTAGCTCAACAGACACTTGGTTGTGCTTTGACTCACTTTTCTTACAGTAATTATGAATCAACTTGTATATGTACGTAAAGGATGGACCTACAATGATGGGTTTTCAAATATATCTAGAACATCTTTGAATTGATCATAGAAGATAGAAATATGTTCAATCTTAACAACAATAACAGTAAACATAAACCAATATTAAATTAAAATGATAAAAAAAATCACTTTTGATAATATTTTCGTATGCATTGTGTTGTAGTTTTTCATAATACTAGTAGTTCAATGCAAAATAATGTTCAAGCGATGGTCATCTTTATTTACTTGATCTTTTCCTTTTTCAATTCAAATGAGCAACCCCGTAACAGAAATGCAAATGTTAATTATAAAAAGTTCCATAGCAGGAAAACATATAAAGCAAAGTTAGATTATGAAAGTATATAATATACCAGGGAATGATAGTAAACCGATACGATTTGATTTTTTTTTATTTTTTATTTTTTGTGTTTTAACGCCACTTTTAAGCACCGCTTTTGGGCTATTTCGTGGCGGCCAGGTTTTATTGGTGGATGAAGCCGTAGTGCCCGGAGAAAACCACCGACCTTTGATAGGAAAACTGACAATCCTAGTCAATTAAGATTGGAGTCGAGTGCACCCGCACGAGCGGGGTTCGAACTCACAACCTCAGTGTTGACTGGCTAGTGGTTTAAATCGATACGAAAGATGCATTCAGTACGCGAATTTTGAAAAAAATAAAATCAAATATCAACGAAAACTAAAAATCCACAGAGCGTGTTGATAATAAATCACCCAGGTCATTTATAAGATTTTAGTTTGGGTCAACTAGATTTATACGATGTATTTGGTTTACAAATTGATTTAGAAGAAATACCGACATAGCTTTATAATACAATTAATTATCTAATTACTACCACAATTGTATATTAATAAGTATTGTAATTTTCATTGTTATTAATTCATGTTATATCGGTACAACAAACCTAATCTTAAACTCTATCCTATTTTTTTGAAATTTATAGAAATTTATATGTGACGTCACATTGTGCGCCGATCTCTTCGGCTAACATATAATACGTCGTTCGGCTGTGCCTTTTTATGTGCTGATTTAGGTTGTTTTACCTTTTCGTTTTTATTCTGTAGCTAGTCACCACTTTGGTGTTAACATGTATATCTATTATGTAGTCATTTTTATAAATTTACTGCTTGCAAAAGTATGAATTATTCTAAATACTAAGGATTTTCTAACTCAGGTATATAACCTTAGCCGTATTTGGCACAACTTTTTGGAACTTTTGGTCCTCAATGCTCTTCAACTTTGTAATTGTTTTGGCTTTCGAACTTTTTTTATCTGAGCGTCACTGATGGGTCTTATGCAGACGAAACGCGCGTCTGGCGTATTAAATTATAAGCCTGGTACCTTTTGATAGCTATTATTTGTGTATGTTCTCCCATTTATTTGTATTGTAGTATTGTCATGTAATCTTGTCATTTTGATGTTATATTAAACATTGCCGTAAAAGCGGGAGGTTTGGCTAGCCACAAAACCAGGTTCAACCCACCATTTTTTTCTTAAAATGTCCTGTACCAAGTCAGGAAAATGGCCATTGTTGTATTATAGTTCGTTTCTGTGTGTGTTGCATTTTACTGTTGTGTTTTTGTTGTGTCGTTGTTCTCCTCTTATATTTGATGTGTTTCCCTCAGTTAGTTTGTAACCCGGATTTGTTTTTTTCTCAATCGATATATGAATTTCGAATAGCGGTATACTACTGTTGCCTTTATGTTTGTGCATTTAGAGGGATCTAGCTATGATGAAACCTCATAAATCTGTGGATAACATACACATCAAGTTTATTGCTTGATCTCATTTATTTAAGTTTTCCTATCTCCAACATAAATTTACAAAAATGCAAGTTTCTAAATATTCTTAATTGGTAAGTATTGAACAGATGCAAGTACCAAATGAAAAACAACAACACTGTTGTCAATTACTTAGCTAGCACTTACTTTTGCTAATTTTTGTTAAATTTTGTTCCAATTGACGATAGTTCCGAAATATAATTAGAAAACATTAAACAATATTCTGCTTTCTTTACCACATGTATGAAAGTGATTTTTTGTTGTTTTGTTGTTTTTTTGGGTTTTTTTTTTTTGCGTTTGTGTTGATAGAATGGATCATAAATAATGGCAACAGTAGTATACCGCTGTTCAATAGTCATAAATCGATTAAGCGAAAGCAAATCCGGGTCACAAACCAAAACCGAGGGAAACACATCAACTATAAGAGGAAAACAACGGAACAACAGAAACACTGAACTGCAACAAAAACAAACGCCAACATACATAGAAACTATTTGATTTGAGATTTGAGTAAGCAAATCTAAAAATACACATGATGTATAAAGATAATCCAAACGTCATTTGCCTATCCAATTTAATGATGTATATGTATATGTTTTGTTATTATTGCTTTTTAAACCTAAAAAAAACCATGTCATCTACCTTTAATACAATGTGATGTCAGATAATAAAACTAAATCGACGCGATTAAATAAATTGTTTATTTATTTTGAACAAGGTATGAAAAAGAAGGATATGTCTCCAGCTGAATTGTTAACATTTGATCCTTACGCTCGACAACAAACTTACTTTCTTCTCAAATATAAGGAATACAGTGCTACAACAGTTATCATCCCATTTAAGTGCAGGTTGTTTCGCCAATAACATTCAATGTTGATTTCTTTGCCAATAGTCTGGTTGTCCGACATTCCGATCAGTTAATGTTACATCACATCGGTCTGAGTACCATATTATATCCAAACTCCTTCATTTTGTATATCTGTTCCGCCTAACCAGTAAGCCTTAAATAATATAAGAACCGTATTTGAAAACTCATTCATTTCCTTTGGATATGTTAGAAATATGTTTATACTTCTATGAAGGTTATATATACCGATGCGAGTTCAAATCTCAAATATCATTCAAACATGCAAGTGAAAAGCTCCCAGCCTAAAGACAAGGTATGCATGCTGCTTTTGCTAAAATAAATCGATAAGCTTTAGACAAACATGCTTTTGCGGGTTCATAGCTCATACATATGTTTAAACCCGCAATATGTGCCTTCCAAAGTTATGAATCAGAATTGTTTCATTTATAGCTGACTGTACTACATGGTTTTGCTAGTTTTTAAAGACCATATGGTAACTTATAATAACTTATACACACGTTATTTGGACTATGGTAGATATTGGTTTAATTGGCAACCAAACAGTCATTAGTCGAGACTGGCATCGCAATGACAAAAACGGAAAACCACAAGAAACAACAGAATACAAAACACTAAAGATTGAAAAACTAAAAGGTGGTGTGGTCTTATGAGCTTTGGAAAGGTCAGCAGATCCTGCTCCACATATGTGACATCCGTCGAATTGATCATGGTAAGTACACAGTCGGTGATATGTCTCCATCGGTGATGTCACAATCGAGGAAAGAGGACGCGATTTTGGTAACGACAATTGCAAATAGTCGTAGTCATTTGTGACATATTAATTCCATACGGTTAAACAACTCCTGATGGCGCACACACTACGTTCGAAGGAACTGATGTTTTAAAATATTTTGAACCCTTGGTTCAATACTTCCTTGTAAGCAGGAACCGTCCATCAAGACAGTTTTGATAAGATACGCATGTTCTGGAATATCGCCACAAAATGCAGACATATACCTCAGATGCAGGCGCTGCCGGAATGTTGCTACATAGGAATGGACATTTCATCGTTGTGAAGCTGACATCATCTCTTTGGTCGTAATGTTTTGTACTTAATCGACTTGTTCCTTTGCCTTTTTGTTTTTTGCTTTGCACATACTGATTTTGTGTCATGGATGGATACCCTATATCCTTTTTTTTCTCTTAGTTGTTAATTTTGAAATATGGGTCAATATATGAGGCAGACTTAACAGTATCTGTGGTTTCCTTTATTTCAAGTTTGATGGCATAGATGTGTAGTTTCATCCATACAGCGAAACGTAAAATTCTTCCTTAGAAGGTTAGTTATGCAGTATATAATTCAAAATAAAATATTTTGTTTTCTTTGATAACCGACAGAGAAAATGTGTTACAGGTTTAATACATTTTGTTGGATTTCAATATGTTTGAAATAAAATGCACATATAACATTTGTGTAGCATTTTGGTTGCATTTGAAATACATACAGTTTCTATATGCAATTGCCTTAGTCTTCAGAAAATCTAATTCACAACATGACTTTAATTTTCAAGTTGACCTCTGTAACTTTTGCAGATTACTAGTAACTATAACAGAAAGTACATCACATTATATCATGAATTTCTGTTCCCCCTTTGTGTCGCCTTATTTGTTTTTTCTAATTGTAACATGGAACGTGTTTATGAATGAAAATACAAAATCCTTAAATCAGAAAGAGAAGTATGTGTAAGGTCAATCTTCTTAATCCAATGTTTAATTGTTCAAAGCTGTTAATTTCAATATTTCAAAACAACTACTAATTAAATATGCCTAAATATTCATTTTTTTGTGGATCTTGTTGCTAGGATTCTGTTTTCGGTGTTCGCTTAAGTTATGTGATGTTTGAACGAAAATGATCAATGTAGTCTTATTAATATTTCGTCTTATGATTAAATTCATCATAGATATCTGGCTAAAAATTTGTACGCCAAAAAAGACTACAAAAGACTGATCAGTGACGCTAGAATAAAAAAAAGTTAAAAAGGTCATATAAATTACGAAG